TGCTTGGAACAAACCAACAAAAACAAAGATAACAAACTTCCCGACACCCATTCCCACTTTAATCTTAATGGATTAATTAGGCTGAACTCCTCTCACACTAGACAACTTCTTTCTGTATCTCCTTTTTTCTTCCTGCGCCCCATAATTTGAAAATACCTATATTACCCCTATGGTGTATTTGTGGTGGTTGGGATGGTGGCTTTTGTTTGATGGTGGTGGTCTGTGGTAATTGGTGGTGGTTTCCAAAGGATAGTTGGCTGTTTTCATGTTTTCTGAAAAATATTTTGGATTGCACAATCCAAAATATATTTATTATTATTTTGTATTTTGAAAAGTATTTTTTAATTCATAAATATATTTTAAATTATATAATTAGAATATTTAAAAAACCCTTTTGATTGATTGTTCCGTAATGGTGGTGAAGTGTCGTCCCTCTCCCTTAGTCGAATTCCATAATGGAGGTGAACTGTAGTCGGCCACTCTTGTTAAAGATAGTAAAAAGCGTAAAATGGTCATTTTGTCAATTTTATGGATGGAGAAGAAAAANTTAATAACATCCCAAAAATATAGCTGCAAACTATACTTAGGAGTCCTTACATTTACAATAAAATAGAACCGTTACAGGGAATAAAGCTAACTTACAGTTATCCTAAAATAACCATAAATTAAAAACTTTACCGAAACCTACACTAATACAAATTATAAAAACAGACCGATCGGTCATACAAGAGGTGTATCGACCGAACGGTCCTACAAACAGTGTATTAAACCGAACGGTCCTATACTAACTGCAAAAATAAGCACAAGACCGAGCAATCTTACTCTTAGCGGAAACCATCCTCTCCAGCCAATACATGCTCCAGAGAACCCTCAATATCTTCTGCTCACACCCACCGGGTGATCATTGCAATGACAAGGACGACCGAACGGACAACAATGACAAAACAAGAAAATAAGGGTAAGCTAGTGTAATTTAATTAATTCAGTAAAACTTATAATTCACACAATTCTGAGATAAATCAACAGGTCAATCATGCAACAACCAAACATACATTTACATCAATGACCGAACGTATAATACATGCAATGACTGACCACTTTTACTCTGACTGTCCGGACTATATGAATTCTGTGTAGCTACGACGTTTGTGCACCCGAGTGATGTAGTAGCTGGGATGCCCTCAACAGCTGCCACCCGAGGTTAGTCCGTTCCGCCCAAGGTCACCTTTATGGACTAGGATGCCCTCAACAGCTGCAACCCGAGGTTAGTCCGTTCTTGCCCAACTTAGATTGAACACTTAGTATAAGACCGAGCCGTCTTTCACTATCCACTGAACAGGACCAAATGGTCCATACTCAGTAAGGTTAAGGAAATGGCCGAACACTATTAAGGACCAAATCACGAGGGAAAGACCAAACACTAGTACAAGTCCGATCACTACCAAGACAAAGTACCCACTCAAGACTGAACACTCTGGACTTAGACATAATACAATCTTATGACCAACACTAAAGCATGACCGAACGGTCATTAACAGGTAAGGCCCATCATAGGCCGAACACAGTTAAGACCGAACATCAATACCAGACCGAGTACTATTGCAAGACCGTCAGGTCATTAACTGAAAACTCCACAGAAGTAGAACTCAGTTAAGACCGAACACAAGAGGAAGACCACACACACCTAATACCGAACGGTTATGAACTGGTAAGACTCTAAAGAGACCGACCCAGTTAATGACTGAGTACCTAAACACGGCCGAGCGGCCAAATCAGCGTATGGCCGAGCGGTCAACAGCGCACCCTCAACTTTCTGCATAATTCTGCTGAAACTACTGCAGAATTATGAACACATCAGACTTTACCAAACTAAACATTTTCCAAACTTCTATCTAATCTTCTAAACACGAATCATATACACATTTACACCTATCCAAGAGTAACTAAATCTTTCTAACATAAATCCAAGGAATCCCACACAAGATTACACTCCAAAATTCTGCATAAACAACAACCCAATAACCAAAAGATCTATTTCCCCACTTTTTCCACATTTTAAAGGTAATAAGAGTTCTAACAGGTCCAAAACAACTAATCCAGACTCTTCCTATCAACCAACTCCATACCAAATCTCAATTCCCAAATTTCACTACTCAAATTCATAGAAATTCACACGGTAAAGTAACAAAACACTAGAGAAAACAAATCAACATGTTCACAAAATATGACAGTTCACAAAAACAATGCCGAGCACACTAAAAATCCAATTTCATACACATGCAAGATCATCAAACAACATTTTCATACTCAGAAGATCATAATTAAATTAACTAACTTCCCTTATCTCTTATCCGTACAGGACAACTTGACAGATTTTAACCTTCTTCACAGCTTTGCTAAACCGCAAGTGATCCTAGAACATCCTACAGACTTTGAATCGGTGAAAGGAAACCAACCAACGAACTAGAAACAGAATCAAAACCCAGATGAAAAGCTGATGAACACATGCAAAGCCGAACAGTGCTTGCATGTACCAGAAATTGCAGAAATTTCAAGAATCAAAGAGAGGCACACTTACCGGCTCTAAACACAAATTTGACTGGTGGAAAAGGAAGCCCTTGACACCAGGATGTCGTAGGCGCAACATGATTTTGAATCAGATGAAGTGAGATGAGAGAAATCTAGAGAGAAGGGAGAGGGAAATTAGGAAATAATGGTTCTAGAGAGATAAACAGTTTTAAGATAATGAAATGGGTGTTTAGAAATTTCTATTTATACTCTTGGTGTTTTTCAACCTTAAAAGCTCAGTTCAGTTATTTTAATACCTCTATCTACTCTATTATGCTATTTTCTGGGTCTTTACAAAACCAAAATTAAATAAAATATTGTTTGAAATATAATTAATAAAGTATAAATAAAAATTCAATTAAAAATAATTAAAATAATAATAATAAATTTATTAACTACTAAAAGATTATATAAAATAAACAATTACACTAATTAATTGTAAAAAAAATTAAAAACAATTTCATTTAATTATTATAAAATTAATATTAATTAATTTATTAACTATAAAAATATTAAATTAAATAAAAATAACGTAATTAAATAAATAATATAAAATAATTATGCAATTAATTATAATTTAAAATATTCAGCCTTTTTTTTAATTTTATTAACAAAAACAATTTGTTTTAAATATTAAATCAATTACATTTAAATATATTTTAAATATAATATTAGATAAATAAATCTAACAAAATAAATAAATTAATTATATAAAATAATTTAAATACGTAAATATATTTTATAAATAAAGCTACAAAAATTAAACTAATAAAGAAAAAAAAACAATTGAGAACCCGAAAGGACAAAACGAAAATGAAAGATCTCTTTGACCTTCAACAGATGTTAAGATCCGTCGATGGATATTCACATCTGTTGAAGGCCAAACGAATCTTCTATTTCCGTTTTGGCCTTCGCGGTTTCACTCATTTCATGGACACAACAAAGAACATAAAACACCACAACACACAACATACCAAAATCACAACACATAACATACCAAAATCACAACACATACAAAACCTAAATAACAAACCAAACAAAATGGACAAAAAACATTAACGAGAAAATGAAAGCCAATATGAAACCAACCTTGATCTGAAGAGAGGAAACCAAGCACGAACCACACTCCTCTTCGCACTCTTCTTCGCGAATCCACCACCTCAATCACAATGGAAGCAACGACACAAAGGCATGAAAGGCAAAATAATGGAGGGAGAGAAAACAAAGTTCACAAAAAGGGAGAGGAAGATGAGGAGAGTAGGAAGAAGAGAGAATGAGAGAAATGAGATTCTGTGGGGTGTGGAGTAAGCGGCACAATGAAAGGGAGAGAAGAGAAGATTAGAGTTTTAAATTAAATAAGGTAAAAGTAAAAAAAAAAGGTTACTGAAGGTTACTTTTGGAATAAAAAAATTAGGGAGAAGAGTATGGTAGTGTAGGGAGAAGAGTGTGGTGGTATAGGAAGCAACATTCAAGTAACAAATCTAACTTTGTTTGGCCCTGCTTGGAACAAACCAACAAAAACAAAGATAACAAACTTCCCGACACCCATTCCCACTTTAATCTTAATGGATTAATTAGGCTGAACTCCTCTCACACTAGACAACTTCTTTCTGTATCTCCTTTTTTCTTCCTGCGCCCCATAATTTGAAAATACCTATATTACCCCTATGGTGTATTTGTGGTGGTTGGGATGGTGGCTTTTGTTTGATGGTGGTGGTCTGTGGTAATTGGTGGTGGTTTCCAAAGGATAGTTGGCTGTTTTCATGTTTTCTGAAAAATATTTTGGATTGCACAATCCAAAATATATTTATTATTATTTTGTATTTTGAAAAGTATTTTTTAATTCATAAATATATTTTAAATTATATAATTAGAATATTTAAAAAACCCTTTTGATTGATTGTTCCGTAATGGTGGTGAAGTGTCGTCCCTCTCCCTTAGTCGAATTCCATAATGGAGGTGAACTGTAGTCGGCCACTCTTGTTAAAGATAGTAAAAAGCGTAAAATGGTCATTTTGTCAATTTTATGGATGGAGAAGAAAAAGAAAAAGGTGCTAAAGATAGTAAAAAGGGTAACATGGTATTTCGTCAATTTTATGGGTGGTGAAGAAAAACAAACAAGGTGTAGAAAGAAGCCCCCGGCAATCTGTTCTCCTAAAATTTCACCCAAGCCCAATAACTCCTCAATATATATATATAGATCTGGAGATTCATTTCACCCATACCCAAAATATCTGAACGTTACCATGTCCACGTCGACCAAGATAAAGGACGAAGGACAGAGTAGTAAATGGATGATGAATAAACCTTATCAGTATGCTCTCTCTTCTCTGTTGCCCATAAATATCAAACTCCTATCACTCACCCAAAAGTCTCCAATTCCTCCATAAACCCTACTTCATCTCCTTTCTCAAAAAACCTTATCTGTTACAATGTCTACCTCTGCAACTTCTCTTGCACTCCCAACTCTCACTCTCAGAACACATCACCCTCTCTCTTCTCCCAAATCCTTCTCTTCTTCTCTCTCCCTCACCCCTAACGCCAAACCCATCTCCATTTCTACCGTTTTCCTCAAACCCACTTTCTCCCTCTCCTCCCGCTTCCTTCCCCGCGTCGCCGTCTCCTCCGACTACGACCAGCAAGAGGACACCTTCACCTCCGCCCAGAGCTTCTCTCCCGACCTTAAGGTCTTTGTCGGCAACCTTCCTTTCAGTGTCGACAGTGCGCAGCTCGCAGACCTCTTCGAAAGCGTTGGGATTGTGGAGG